CATAAAAGCAGAATATTAGATGAAGAGATTGCTAAATCTAAAAGCTTAAAAATTACAAGTAACAGTTCGTTAAATAACCTTGGTGCCTTTTTTAGATTGAATTGATAATTTGTTTTTATCAAAGTATGCTTCAATTCCATCACCATTTTCTTTGAAGAATGAAAATAATCGTGGAAAATAATCATTATTTTTAATATTTTTGTTATTAAAGGCTTTTGGATTTGAATGAGAATCCAATTTTATCCAAGTGAAAAAGGAATAACCATTTATAGGAAAATTTTCAATTCTTGATAATCTAATGCCAGAATCAATTCCTCCTTTAAAGTAAAAGAAATCCAAAGTAGTGTAATTGGAAGTATTCTGTTTTTGAGCAATTGAATTCAAAAATTTTAATAGAGAACCTTGATACCATCTACTACTAGAATTTTCTTGTTGACTATTGTTATTATTTTCAATTTCAATATTTTTATTACAAATCATATTTAATATTAACTTGATATCTGAAACTTTGACAGAAAATGAACAAATGATTTCTAATAGTTTCATTGTAATTTCAACAACTTCATTTCTTTGACTTGTCTTCCAAATTACAGTGGTTAGCAATTTGTGAGTGATGTTGGCTTTAAACAATATCCATTTGTTAATATCATTTTTCTCTGCAAAATCTATTAATTTATTGATAAATTGGAATTGTATAGATTTTTCCATGGAAGAAAGTTGTCGCAATAAATTTCTAAGAGAACCAATGCGTGATGTCACGCACTTGTTGTCAAATTGCCATTCATCATTACTATCGAGTAGACTGTTTAATTCTTCAAGTGGTTGTGAAAGAAATTCCGTTGTGATATTGGTGCTGTTGTTGTTGAAAGAATCAGTCATATCAATAAAATAAAATATTGATTTGATTCTTGGAGAAAATTTGCAATAAAATAAAATTTTTAATTATATATTTAATATTTGATTGATCTTGAAAATAGACGGATCATTAATTAATAATAATAATAATAAAATGGCTAATTCGCAGAAAGTCAAATTTAACAATCCGCGCGAATGAATGTAGTGTGTTAAATTTTCCCCTGATTGTTGATCATCTCTATTTTTTTGAGACAATAAATATTTTTGGTGTCACAATGTTACAATACTATAAAATCACATGACCCAAACGGTCAGCAATAATATTTACGAGATTATGTATTTGTTCGTCGTCTATTTTGAATAATAATAATAAATGATAGCATTGATTCAATTAGTTGAAAGGAATCTTCTAATTAAATAGAATACAATATGTTTTTTTACCAAGCTATATTTAAAAAAATAAACAAGATTTTCTTACTTGCCAATTGCATAAATGATCAAAAAAATTTATTTGTATATATAACTACTGTACATTAACATAATAGTAAAAAATAAATATCTGCAATAAAAATTTTGTTGAATGGTAAATAAAGAAAATTTTGACATATAGTATTATTAACCAACACGTCCCAGTAATAATCATATGAAGGCTAGAGTTTTCTAAAGCAATAATGTAGTGACGAAGGCATAGTTTGTGACGTCGTGACGCGAGACATAGTTTGTCAAAGTTTATGATACAATTAAAAATTAAAAAATGAAATTGTG